TTTTTCCATTCTAGGATTGTATCCAAAGATGAGTGGTGCTCTGACTGTATCTTGTTCTTTAGGAGATATTTATTCTTCCGCAACTCCTAGACATCCCTCCTGCTTCGCTACCAGACATTTCTCCTCGCTGCAACCGCCTCAACAACAACCATTTTACTTCTTGTATTTCCTTGCTGTTAAAACCATCCTCCTCGCCGACGTCCCCATGACAACCCTTCTTTTGCTGTGCTGCAGTCCGATGCATTCTTCGCCACTACTGGCGTCGTTCCCGCCCACTGCCGCTATCCCGAACAGCCGTTCCTTGCTGTTTTACTTTTGTTCCATACCTCCTGAACCTCTTCTCTGCCACCTAGCCACTTTACCAGACCTTTTGCACTTCCTCCCTGCCACATATCCACTGTACCAGTCACCTAGAACTGCTAACCGCGGCCTAGCTGCTCTAGTCGCACAACAACACTCTGAAATGCCGTTTCTCTGCTGCCCAGCCTGCCTATACAGTTGTTGTCATTCCGAGCAGTGAATATCCCCTGCTTCCCTTGTTGTACCGCTCCCTCCGCTCCACCTCCCCACCTTGCCATCTTCTTTCTAGAATCCTGACGACCACCACCACCGTTGATACACACTAGTCACAATTTATATGTTGTCTGTTACTATTTTATTTTTCCGTGTGCTGGTTGTAGCTATTTATTAGCTTTTCTAGTAATAATTTTTTTCCCTTAACCCGTATCATAAATCATAAAAATATTTGGTTTTTATAAATTTTGATAGCGATGCGAATTTTGAAATGCCGCTTGAAAATACTTGTAAGGTTATTGTCAAGTTGAAAGTTTCCAGAAATTAGTTAGGTCTTTTCGCAGAGAGAGAATTGTAAAGAACTATACCTTTATTGAATTGTCATTTCTGAACAAACATATATGCGCCTTTATATAACCAATAAGAGTGTAAGAAAGGAAAATATAATAAAAGGAAATTATCTTCAATAATAATGGAATGTCCACCCCCCCCCCCCCCCCGCCCCCCAATGCCTTTTATGTCCATAAACATATTTTGTGCCTAACGGGATGTGTACACTTCACTTGTGGCCACTTAGAAAATAAAAATAAAAACTTAATCGTGTTGTTTCCCGATTCATCTTAGTCTCAGCTCTCCCTCAACATGTCTCACACACTCTTCTACAAGCACACAAAACGCCGTGTGGTTCAACCACCTCTTCCCTTCCTTTCAATTCATCTTCCTAGTTGCATGCAGAGACCCACACTTGCGCGATCTAATTTCGATCATCTTTCCCGCAGTTGGCCAGCAGTTCTGCACTTGTTGTTGCGTGATCCAGACCCATCTCCCTCGAGGCACGTAGTTCCACAAAAATAGAAATGCAAGCACACATGTGCAGATTGCACACTACAGCTACAGTGAAATTCGCATCTAGGGAGTGTTTGACTGCAAGTAGAATTTAGTGTTGGTAGGATTTAGTAAATCCATAAATCTTAAATTCATTAAATGCATCTTACTCGTGCATTTAGTAAATCTAGATTTAAGCCGAATTGAAGGCAAATTTTTGAACTTTAAATTCGAAAATTTATATAATTTCTCTTAATAATTATATACAAGTAGGATTTAGTTCTAGAAGATCTGTGTTGAAGTTAAATGAGTACAAGTTTTTATTTTTATGTCTTAATAATTATATACCTTATATTTCTTTTCTACCATTGGCTTACACTTGACGCTTTGAGGCTTACCTCTTGCCATGTAACAACTAAAATACCTCGCTCAACGAACCAGCCTTTAAAAGCATTGGTGATGACTCGACCCTGACTTGGAATTACTTCGGCAAGAATAGTTGGTCAGACAATGAAATTAAGCTTTCCATTACTATCGTTAGTTAATAATGATCAAATCATTCGAAAGAGCCACTAATGAAAGAAATTTTAATTTAACTTAAAATAACAATTATAAATGGAATTAACTTTCTATATCTTCGCCATATTTTCTATATATATTGCCCATTTTTTCACTCATTTTTAAGCTCACAATTTAGGCTTGAAAATATTTGTGTAAATTATGATGAGCTATTAATTAGGCAATGATGAGTCATATCTCGAAAATATGAACTTTTAACATATCTTCTAAAGTTATACCAATTAAAATACTTCAATATCAATATCATTTTTCAGCTTGAATTTTTTATCATCCTCTGCTAATATCATAAGAGGGCGAACTCCATCAGTCAACATGTACATGCAAACATTTTAATATTCATTTCAATATCTTGTGTTGATAGTGTGTCAGTGACCCAAGGGACACATGGTGTCCAATGATTGCTTCCTTGTGGGCCTCATTACGACCACCCAATTCGTTAGTCCCATCATTCTCGCCTTGGAATTGGTTGTCTCTAGTTGGTCCCTGATCCACAGCCGCTTTCGCCGTGGTCAAATACAAATCCCTATTCGCCGAAAGTGAATAAACGACTTCGTTAGTCCCATCATTCTCGCCTTGGAATTGGTTATCTCTAGTTGGTCCCTGATCCACAGCCGCTGTCGCCGTGGTCGGATACAAATCCCTATTCGCCGAAAGTGAATAAATGATCGTAATCTTCATAATAGGGTGGGCTGCACCAAGGGACAATATAATAAAAAAAAGAACTTCTGAGAAGAATAAAAATGGTATAAGCAAGATCAAAACTTATCATTCTAAGAATTCGATCCCACTCAGATGTTATAAATGACACCTCACCCTCCCCACCTTTCTCATGTGCTCCGGGCGGCAGTGGAGCACCAACAATTTCTTGCGTTTCGAGTTGCACTAGAGCACAAACAACTTCCTGCACAATCTGATTAGCCCGCAAGGTTTGAGTCTTAGTAGGAGGTGGAGCAGATAGGTTGATAGGCAGATTTGCCTGATCAGCCTCCAATGTCCGCTCAATCTATCTTTCGCTGACAACTACGGAGCAAATCAGGCGATCCCACTTGAACCTCCGAATCAGGCGTTTTCTCTTCTTTGCAACGACTTTCTTCCTTTTCTCAACCTCGAGATGAGAGCGCACTTTCATCTCTCCAAAAGCTGTTATATGTTGTCTTGTCGTGGGAATTGGACCCCGAAGTCGGTTCTTTCACCATGGTGGCGCTTGGAATTCAATCAATCTAGACAATGAGAAGATGAGGGAAAACAGCCCTTCATGCTCTATTTATAGGAATAAATGACATGAAATTCCATGAAGTTCAATTATTGTATTATTGATTAGTCATAAATGAATTGCTTTTTAAATTAAATTCTACAGTTCTTTTCGCAGTGCGTCTTTCAAGTAGCAAGAGAATCGAGAAACTCAATATGTACTCAGGAAAAATACCAGCATAAATATCAAGGAAATCTGACGGTCCATAAGGAAAAAAAAACATCAAAGGAAAGCCCACTGACAGAAGATCCGTAGGACTAATCCGACCAGACGTTTCAAAGCGAAGACCATCTAAGACAACCGAATGACCCAAACACGAGTATTTAGACCAGAAGCGAGGAACGAGACAATCTAAGCTATTCACCACGATGAAACCAACCCAATGGATGAGCTAACCCATCGGGTTTGCTGTTATACCGGATACATCCAGTAGTCTCTCTAAATATCATAAAAAATCTATAGGACAACAAGTCCTAGTCATCTCTCAAGTTCTCTTCATCTAAGGGCGGCTACCCAACAAATTACGATGATTCACGTTATGCCCAATAGCTTAGCCTGCTCTGTTGACAAGAATTTCTTTTTAGAGATCGAGGATCTTCAGTTGGCTTGACCAACCGATCGACAAAACTTAGCCGACCGGATCAATCTTGTCGACCCCTTGCCAGTAAAAGATCAGTACAACGTTTACCGAACTTAGCGAACCGGAGACGTTATACCATGGCCTCATTAGCCTAGCCAACCGACATCATCTATCAAACTTAGCCGATTGACGGTGCCTACCAAGGCCTCATTAGCCTAACCAACTGACAACATCTACCAAACCTAGCTGACCAGCATCACATACCAAGGCCTCCTCAGTCTAGCGAGCCGAGCCAGAGAGCAATTAAGCTCTGGGCCCAGATATATATAATACCTACAATAACATGTGTAGCCTCCAACAAAAGCAGGGGCATAAATATAAATTCACACATTGTAGCTATTTTTTCTATAAATAAGGGATCATTCCATGATTAAAGGGTTACTGTTCATTTCTTGTGCATATATCTCTCTTCTGTCCTGCACTCTATTCTTTGGGTGTGATTCATGGACAAATTCGGATTCAACTACTAAGAATATGTATGATTTAATATTCTCATTTTCTTTATTAATGAGGATATTCTTCTTTATTTTGTAAATTGTTTTCTTCTCTTTCTTGTGTTTTGAGATAAATGCTTGTGCTTCCCTGATAAGTGAGTAAAGTTTTAAGTCTTTTAATTCTATTTCTTTTTACAAGATCTGTTTGCTTGCTTGCTCTTATTTTCAGCTATAGCTAATATCTAAATTAAGAATCTGCAAAGTTCTTTTTTTCTCATATAAAAGTGAAAATTTTGCTACTTGAACATGAACCATCCTGAAGTTTGTGTGTTTAATGGGCCTTATTAATCTGTTATCGTGATCTTGAAAGTCAGAGTATCGTGAGGTTAAAGAATATATTGCATTTTAATATCTTTAGATTATTCTTAGCAGTGGATGTACTTATTATTTGTTTTTTATATTTTAAGAAAATAAATATGGATATTTTTTCCAACTATGCCTGATTCAATAAATCAACCATTTATTCAACTTATAGAATTTGTAGAACCATAAATGCAGCTTCTAATAAATTATATGAACCGTCCAAGTGTAAGTGCTCCTTTGTGCAGAAACTATAAATTTTACAGTGTTTTTAGGGAATTTAGATATTTAAATACATAAGAATAGTTTGGTTTTTATGTAAATTTACCTTGTTCTTATTAGCTTTATCTCACTTCGTTACTTTGGCATCAAATCTTTGCAATCGTTGATTTAACAGCGAAGGAAGCCGTCTCCATATTGGGTGAATATTTAGAGGATGATCCCTGGTTGAAACTCCTCTGCAGCCGCTTGAAGTAAGAAGTTCAATTCTCTGCAGACGAACTTATTTAAGAAATCCAGATTACTTCTCTTATTTTAAATTCCTGATTCCATTTTCTTATAGGTTAGATATAAATGAGAAGATGAAAGAAGCACATAGAATCGAAGATGACTTAATTTTCTTGGAGAAATCACCAACGCCATCACATCCACAAAAGGTTTGTTCTCATGAGAAAGTTGCTTTTGCTTCTTTACTATGAGTGATTTTTGTTTTGTTTAGGGTGGATACAGTTTTTTATTAAAGTGGTTATAAAATTGTTGAGGAAACCATTTTTTTTTCCTACATTTATATATATATCTATATGGGCTTTTTGTGCATCCCTCACAATTCTTATATATTTACATATCTACACCTAAATTTTGATATATACGTGCCTACCACTCAAATTTTTAACATCAAATCAAAAATACCCCTATTATTAATTTTTTAAGAGTGAAATACATCTTTTCGTGTATAGGTGTATAACACCAAAATTTTGCAAATGTAAATATTAAACTTTAGGTGTTGGTATGTGAATACATTGAATTGTATGGTATGTATGTAAATTTCACTTTTTTTTTAAAAAAATTGTTATTTCTAACTACTACATTTTAACATGTTTGGTTCTCAAAAGCAGCATCACAAAGCATTCTTATAAGCAATAAAAATGTAACCGATGAATATATGACGAGTCGAGAAGTAAAACAGTGAAAAAATAACTTTCCCAAACAAACCCTTAGTTTTGTGCTGCGTAGCTTTATAATTTCATCTTTCTAGGGAAAAGGAAGTGGTGGGACGGCAAAGACTACGAATGAGAAACCATCAAAGAAACTAAAAGTGGAAACTGATTCTCGCAATATCAAAGACATGTTCCGGAAAGTCTCCAGAAGAGCTGCCTGAGCTAAACAATGGGTGGAAGAAATATGAGGTTATTCAGATATTCATACCATTTGGCTGTATTATTGCTGTTAAATTTACTATTTTTTTCCTATTGCTCTTTTGCTGGTATGAACTGTAGTGTTAATTTCTGTTTTTGGATCGTTATGTTAATCTTAATTTTGAAAAAAAAAAAAAACACTTCCAATTTTTAATTGTCGTCCTAATTTTGTGGTAGTTGAGCATCTAGTTTTTTTTTTTGGGAAATTTACATGCATATGACACAATCATTATTTTTTTACATTTAAGAACCAAAGCCTCTTTCATGAACGTGTGTGCAGGCTGAGCCAAAGAACCCCACAATCATCACCTCTATCTTTCGAGGTTGCTCGATTTGCGGGATCTCTCAGACTCACGGCCGGAAATTTTTTTTCCTTTTTTGTTCGTCCCTCCTTCCCAACTCACATTACTTGTCTTTCCCCTTCGTACAAACCGACCTTCATGATTTTGTGAGCACTTTATATTTTCTACCTTTTATTCCCTCTTGCCGCGATTGATTCTTGCCTCACCTCCTTCCTCTGTAATCACATGAATCATGGGAAACTCTTTTTCTTATGTTCGCTTCCTTCCTATTCAAATCGTGATTCTTGCCTTTTCATGCACTGACTATATAAGCTGCGGGTGAGGGCAGGGTGACCCTCGCTTCTAGCATCGCCGAGCCCTCAACATTCCTCTTTCACTCTTCTTTAGGAACCCTCGCGGCAGGCTCAACTCTCCTATTTCTTATCCTGAAAAGTTCGGATGGTCGTTGCCTCCTTCCCCTACCTACATAGAACTACTGTCAATAATGAGAATCCCTTTTTTTCTCTTTCTTTTTCTTTACTCTTCCAAGGAATGATTAATTATTTTTCTTCTCTTTATTTTATGATAATTATCTTTATGAGAGGTGATTTCGATTATTATTGAAAAGAAATTAGTATTGAGAAAATTGATAAATTCATGCTTGAACAATTATAATGGTAATGATAATACTTAGAGCATTTATTGTATGACCTTAAGGTGGTTTTTGGCTCAAAAATGCGGGTTAGTAGATTGGGTAATCTCGTATTGCTTGCATCGAGATGAGTAGTTATTATTTATTAGGAGATAAACATATTTTTCATTGTTAGGGGGTGTTTTTCTTACTATTTATATTATATTTTTTGTTGATTGTAAGTTTGTAGACACAGCTTTCAAATCCTATTAGTATATTAATAATAGATTTTAATTTTTGTTCATAATAACTTTCTTGAGTAATTAGCTTTCCTGCTGCATAAACTCTTGTTTAATTATTTGCCTTATATTTCCAGTATTTATTAATTTTTATAGTTTTGATGTGTTAAATATTATTATTGCAAATTCATAATTGAAATATACAGTTCTTGGTGTCGTGCCTGATAAAACATATATTTTACTATTAGGACTGATTATGATATTTTTAATGTGATGTTCATGTAAATATTAATGTTTATTTAGATGATGCATAAGATTTGTGTGATATGCATGTAAATGTCTCTTTTTTTTTGTATGTTCTATCTATTAAGCTGTAGAAGTTCAAATGATTTGGTTTTTCCTCATGTAAATTCTATTTTAGTACATCTGGACCATAGATGCAATGTTACGTCTGGAGTCCAATGAAAATTTGCCACGAGTAAGACGTGGTCCCACAGAAAAAATAACAAAAAAACATTTTTTTTTTCATGTCCGCACTAAATGCTAAAGTTGGACGTGACAATACTCCCTCTATTTCCCTTTTCTCTGCTTCTATTGCTCCCTTCTCCCACTTACGAAACCGTCGAAACAATTTAGTTCAAATCGGCATAAAGATTTAATTGTTTTTTTTTAATATATCATTATTACAGAGAAAAATAGTTCTGAGATTTTTACTAAGTTGCAACATAAATATATTTAGCATCCCATATGCCGTTCAATGCACATTTTGTAATTGACACTTGGTTATATTTATTAAATTTTCACATAATGTGAATCAATGTTTATACAAATTTATTTAAAGGTTGAGTTATTTAAATGCACCCGACTCACTCATTGAAGTGCTGACAAGCCAAGTGTCGTATTCATTTTTGGAGGTCTAAAATCTTCAGAGGTCCATGATTCATCTATTGAATATAAGAAATTCTTTTGAAGTGGCTTTTTTGCGCTATCTAATTCTCATTAATTGATGAAAAGCTAAATGAACGATAGCTAGGGGTGTAAAAACTGCTCATTGATCGCGAGCAGCTAATGTTTGGCTCATTAAGATGACTAGCTAAATAATTCGTGGTACATGTCATAGTTTAAGGTAATTTCTCTTAATTATATAGCACGAATCATGTGAAATCTCTATGCGGGACCGTTCGAACGCAAGATCTGTTAGTTTTGTAACTTTTGAAGAAAAAACTCACAAGTGCATTCATTCCTATTGAGAAGTATCTACAAATTATTTTGGAGTGTTGAAATCGCTCCGCCGCTCCATGCATTGATTGATTTTGCGATAATATATAGAGTTGTCGTCAACACCTCTCGTGGGGTCATCTTGGATAAGCCATGAAGTCCATGATTTATGTGTAGTTTCTCAAACAGATAAGTGGATATTACCTGTATCATACAGAAAATATTGCTAAATCTTATTGGGTGGCCCATAAGTAACTTCCCAACCCATTTGCCGCTAGCATATGAAGATGTCATGCTGGGAGAGTGCTCTATGTACGAGTTATGATATCCGAACATCTAGCATACAATAACTGCAACTCTCCTTCTGTGCCCGTCTTTAGTTGCATCCATTTATTTCGGCATCAAGGTGGCTAACACATAAGCATCAATGAATTAACTATAATCATATAAGGTTACTAACAGAACCAATAAAAGCAAATAATGTTATAGAAGTAAATAGAAAACATATCATGAAATGAAAAACTCCCAAGTAAAACATTATTTCCCAAGCAGTATAAATATCCAAAGCAAAATGAAAAATAATAAACAAATATAAATGCCCATATGATTGTAAATAAAACAGAAGCAAAATGAAAAATAATAAACAAATATAAATGTCCATATGATTGTAAATAAAACAACCTCCCAAATGTTCTTGAGCTTAGAAAAATATCGTAGATAAACCATCCTACAATCAGGGGGCATCCCAATGAAAAAATCTCTTTGGTTTGAATCTTTAAGCAATTCCATTAAAAAAAAAAATACAACGACGAGTCTTTAGAAATTTCTAGAGTTGAATTCAGAATTTGCTGTACTTGCTAGACAAAGTTGCTTGAGATGTGATGGGTTAATTACTGCATGAAGTTACCGAAGCGACTGATATCTGGCTTATAAGGAAAGCAACTCTCATTTTCTTTTTATTTTTAACCTCGATCACTTAGAACCGCTCGTGAACTCAAGTTCATGGAGGTTCGGGGTGAGGCGTTAAGTGGAATCGCCCGATTGATCAGCTCGCGAATTTTCGGAGATGCCATCAAACCCTGGCTCATTGAGGGCACATGCATTGTTGTCTATTGCCACGACACCCCCAAATATACGATCCAACTTCTCCTCAAACTCAGGATCGATTCCACTGTATTTAAATTTTTTCACAGCAGACACAACCTACAAATTCATATAAAATGTAGTTTAATTTAATAATAAATTACAAATTGACCAAAATAGGGGACATTTAAAAAATGCTCAATGCAAGCCTTTCTGCCCACCACTTCTCGGAAGCATCAATCGTTCTCTTCATCGGATCCCACCCCAAGTCCTTTGAACCTCGCTTCAATTCCTTCCAGATTTTTCAATCCTTCTTCTGATCTCATTTGTTTTTAATTGCATCATGTTGTATTATCTGCTTGTACTTTCCTTGAGTTTTCTGATAATATTTTGTCACTCTTTTTTATTGAAATAAATTGTAGGCTATTTTCTAGATCGATCTCCTTGAGATAGATGTCACAAAATATTTATTTTTGTTTCTTTATATCACATTGCAGATGAACCAACCTCTTCGATCTTAACTGTTTTATTGCTAGCATGAATGAAAAGAACTAATTAACATAAATAGAAATGCGATAATATTGCAAATCAAAGAAAATTTGTAATGCTGCAATATCATCACCACGACCTTCACACCAACACCTTCACACATAAGCACATCAGGACACAAACACATCCACTACACCACCAGCAACACTTAAAACACTATCACCTTCTCACATTCACACACAAACACCACCAGACACTACACATATACCACACATACTCCATTACATCCACTAGACACCAAAACCTCTACACAGACACCAACTCCCCCACTAGACACCTTGCAGACTCCACACCACCGGAACCACCTCCACACAAACATAACCTCACATCTCCACACTACCAACACTACCTCTACACAAGCAGCACCATACACACGCATGCCGCCACCTCAGACACCAAACACACTGACACATCAAGACACCAACTCATCCACCACACCATTATCTCATCAAAGTAGCACACATACACCAAATCATTCACTACACCTCCTCACAGTAACGCACAAATACCACACCAGTATGACACTAACTCATCCAACATAATGCGCACAACCACACAAAGAAGAGAGAAGAGAGATTGGTGTCTGTGTGTTACCAAGAAGAGAGGTGAAATGTACAAAGAAGACAGGAAGAAGAGGGATTACCACACAGAGCTAAAATGTACACAACCACCAAACCAAGCCGAAAAAGAGAAGAGGGAGGGGAAGAGAGAATACAAACATCACTGCAATAACCACCAACCGAAGAAAGTGAACCACCAAGCCGATGAAATTGCTCTATCACAAAGAGCACAAAATGCACAAATCACCAAAAATCGAGCGGAAGAAAAGAGGGAGAGAGAGACGAATATAAGGTCACTGGAACAACCGCTCACAACCGAAAATAGCTAACCAAAACAACCACTCGCAACCGAAAATAGCTAACCAAAACAACCACTCGTAACCGAAAAATAACCACCGGAGCCACGAATCCGGGGGAGGTAGAGACATAGGGCAGAAGACTATCGAGAGAGGGAGTGGGGTCAAGAGAGACAGATGAAACCTGAAAAGAGAGGTACCGGGTCAAGAGTAGAGAAATACGGTCGTGTGGTCCAACTCTCAGCCGCATTTTAACGAAGTTTTTAAAAAATGTGACAACTTTTCCAAATGCAAAAAATGTGACAACTTTTCCAAATGCATTTTTAGGCATCATCGTGTCGCGCGACGTGCGAATTCAGCCACGCCAAGCGGACCCTTAAGCTAGAATTCATACTTGATAAAATTAATAAAACTAAAGCTCAAAATGAGTGGAGTTAACTCAAATCGACTGGTTTACAGCGCCCCCGCCCTCTTGCCATTGGAAGCCGTCAGGAACAAAGGTAATCGACTGGTTTACAGCGCCCCCGCCCTCTTGCCAACTGAAGTCGTCAGGAACAAATGCCATTGGAAGCCGTCAGGAACAAAGGTGTGAGCGTGTGAGAAGTGGATGAGGGGGTAAAGCACTCCGACCACTCAATCGTCCAAAACATATATCAAAATGCTCCTTCTTTCTCCCTCCACCCTCCTCTTCCAACTCCATGACTTCTCCCTCCTCCCCTTTCCTCTCCGTTTCCCGATCCAATGCCTCTTCTATCCCCGTCCCAACACCCTCCCCACTCTCCTTTCGCCAACCACCCACCACCATCTCCATTTTCCATCCCTGCCAACATCCCGCTATTCTCCCCCACCTCAAACTCCACTACCCCAACTCTCTCCTGCGTAACTTCCTCTCCCCATCCGCATCCGCTTCCTCCCTCGCTTCCGCCGAGGACGACGATACCCCCAAACTTTCGGACAACAATGATCTCCCGGAGATGGCGAAGGCTTTAGGAATCTCCTCCCGGCTGGCTTACGGGGCTTGCTCTTGCTTAGTCCTGGCAGGCCTGAGCGTACCCTTTGTGATGCGATCGGTGTCGTCCGCGGCGAGCACGAAGATTAGGGTTCTGTCCTATGTGACTCTGCTATCCGGGTTCTACATGGCGTGGAACATTGGAGCTAATGATGTGGCCAACGCGATGGGCACGTCGGTGGGCTCCGGGGCGCTCTCGCTTTTGCAGGCGGTAGTGATCGCTGCTGTGCTGGAGTTTTTTGGAGCGTTCTTGATGGGGACTCATGTGACGAGCACTATGCAGAATGGCATCCTTGTGGCGTCGGTGTTTCAGGGAAAGGATTCGTTGCTTTTTGCTGGGCTTCTTGGGTCGTTGGCTGCTTCGGGTACTTGGCTGCAGGTTTGGTGTATTTTCCTCTTGTTTTATTGCTCAAATGCTACTCTGTTCTGAGTTTTTTTTTTTTTTCAATTTGCTTATTGATGTTGAGAAATTTAAGGCAAAGAAAAATAAGAATCGACACAAATCTAGAAGAACACAGATTTAACGAGGTTCGACAAAGATGACTATGTCCTCGGGAGTAGAGCGACAAATTTCACTATTTCAGAGGAGTCCAGTACATATCCATAGGGTTACACATCATATATATAGATAAAACACCCACAGATAAAATTACCAACAAGCTCTCGCTCCCCCCAACCCAGTAAATTCCAAGAGACACTCATCTTCATTCCAGGAGACACACCTCTTCAATTCTAAGAAACTCCAAATACTGACATATGAGCCATAACTAACAAATATCCACCTTGGCGAATATCCAGACCCTCAGGAGAAAAACATATGCCCAACAAATATCCATCTTGGCGAATATCTAGCCCTTTAGGAGAAAATTCATATACTTAGCAAATCTCCACCTTGGCGAATATCCAACCTCTAAGGAGAAATACATTATGGAGTTTCTTAGAATGAAGTGGGTTGGACAACCATGTCGTCTAACAATTGCAAACATTCAACAAGTTCAAGCAATGCAAGAACTTGTTGATAGGACTTGACTTTGTCAACATATCTGCTGCAATTTCATCATATGATTCAACAGAGTGAACTTCACATACAATTGTACTTCCCAACAGTTTATAAATATTACCTGTAGTGATTTTTTCTTTCACACAGTCAATGCACCTTTAACAATTCTGATGATTTCTTTATTCCCATCTGCCTTAGGAATAAAACAATTTCTGCGTAAAGTGTCCAAGAAAATTAACTTCTTCAAATCTGGAACATGTTTTACATCTCATAATATTCTGACAGTGTCATCATACATCTGAATTTTGACTTTGTCAATGCCAGCAATATTGTAATATCTATCATCACCCAAATAGACTGAACCTGAATCAGATAACATGTATGAAGTAAATCATTCCCTGTTAGGTGTTATGTGACAAGAGCATCATAAATCAAAAATATATGCATTTTCAACTCAGTTGTTGTAACTGAAAGTACATAACGATCACTGTAATTTGAATTGTCACTTTGCACCATATTCACAGACTTGAAAGATAAATCATGTTTCTCATCAAACTGCTTCTTGAGCTTTGAATAATCTCTCTTCATATGTCTCGGCTCCTTACACTTGTAGCAATGAATCGTCTTTTTGTCATTAGGCTTTGACCTGAAATTTTGCATTCCAAAACTTTCCTTTTTCTTCTTTCTTCCACGATTTTGTTTACCCTTAACATATAAACTGTCATCATGAGAGCTTTCCCCTGTATTCTGCTTCAGCTGATTGTGAGCCAACAATGCTACAGTAATCTCATCAACTTTGATAGTTTTTTTCCCATATGTCAGAGTAGTCACCAGACGTTTATAAGAAGAAAACAATGAACACAATAAAATCATTGTTCGGTCTTCATCTTCAATACTCATATCAAGCCGTGTCAGATCTATGATTATTTGATTGAAAACATTCAAATGTTGTGCTAGATCAGTGTCTGTTTGCATCTTCAGCCCATACAGTCGTTACTTTAGATACAATTTATTCGTCAGAGATTTGAACATAAACTAAGATTTCAATTTCTTCTATACTTCTTCTGGAGATTTCAGATTAATAATATCATACATAATTTTATTTGTCAGCCATAAACGTATGATACCTGCCGCTTGTAGTTGCAATTCTTCTCAATCTTCATCTTCAATATTATTAGGTTTCATAGCCCGCAAAGTCTTTAAAATTCCTTGTTGTGCCAACAAATCTTTCACTATTGTTTACCACAATCCGAAGTTTCCGGTTCCATCTAACTTCACTATCTCAAAATTTGCACCAGACATTGCTATTTCAAATTAACCCTGCACCGAACTTTTCCTGGCAATAAACTTTTTTTGCATTGTATTGAAACAAAACACACCACAAATAAATTCAAAGAAACCTGAATTTTTTCTGTTAATTGCAGCAATTTTCCTACAATTCTGCTGTGTTCCCTGAATCAATTTTTTCACACGAAGCACTTTTCTTGTTCGCGTCAACACCTCCGCTAAATTGTTGTCCCGACTGTCCCGCAAGCGAAACCCTTCGCGAAATACCTCGTGCCTGTTCGCGAAATACCTCCGTGAAACCACTGTTCGCGAATAGTCGAACCTGCTCGCTTCGCTTGCACCCTGCCGAACTCCACCTGTTGCAACCCCTCCTGCGACAAATTTGCAAACTCCGCTGAACTCCTCTGTTCGCAAAAAAGATGCTTCTGTTCACAGTAACAGAAGGAACTACTCTTCTGCGAGATTGGGTTAAACCCTCCTTCGCAAACTTTACTGGCCGTGAGAACTCTTCCCGCAAGCAGTCGAGATGATTCGCAAACTGCTGTGATGGTTCACGAAACCGAACTCTGGTGCGTCGCGGTCCCTCGTGGCTGTTCGCGGCTATACACGAACTTCCTTCGCGAACTGATCGCAAAATTGAAGCCTCTTTTCTTCGCCGAATCCCTCTGTCCCGCTTCTTCCCTAAACAGAACAGGCGCGCGAATCCGGGGCGCCTGTTGCGAACGAAGACCCTCGCGACTCCTCTTGCGTTGTGAACAAAAGCCTGCTTCGTCTTCCTCGACAAAGCACTGATGTCGCCCGTGAAGCTTCGCCTGGTTGCGCGAACTCGCAGATCCGATCACCTGTCGCACACAATCTGCTTTGAGCGAACGATCTTCCCTGTCGCGCCTGCCGAAGCGTCCGAGGAACTGCTGCAGTTCTTCTTCCTTTGGCCCGAAATCGGAACTGCCGCCAACCTCCGAATCGTCGAAAACCCTAGCCTTCAAACTCATCTGCCAAATCTCTCTCCCTTGCGCCGATATTTTTCTTCTCTGCCCTAGATACTTAGTCTGATACCAATTGTTGAGAAATTTAGGGCGAAAGAAAAAACAAGAATCGACACAAATCCATAAGAACACAGAGATTTAATGAGTAGAACACAGAGATTTAACGAGTTTCGGCAAAGATGTTTACGTACTCGGGAGCAGAGAGGCGAATTTCACTATTTCAGAGGAGTCCAATACATATCCATAGGGTTACAGATCATATATATTGATAAAACACCCACAGATAAATTTACCAACACGCCCTCGCTCCCCTCAACATACTAAATTCCAAGAGACACCTATTCAATTCCAATAGACTCCAAATTCTGGTATATAAGCCATACCTAACAATTGAGTTTGGATTGTTTAACTTTGTTTATTCTTGTATATCTGTAAGAAGTATAGCTGGTTTGAGAAATCTGGGTGCTGTTGTTGAGTTGGGAATGGTAACGGCAGTGCCTTTGAATGTGTTGTTAATGCGGCTAATTCTACACTGACACCTCCACCTGTTAGAGAAAATGTGTATTAGCCACTTTATTAGCGCTTAGTTGTAAGGAATGATGGCATTGTTGGATTTGGCTTAGAAGTTTTATATGCTACAATAACTTAGATTTCTTAGTTTTTTAGGTTTCTCATAAAGCTTCATTCACTCATAGCAACTCAACTTGAATACTTAAAATGAAAGTGACACTCGGCAAATTGTAAGATGCTCATATTTCTTAGCTTGGACTTTATCTTCATGAGGCTTAGCAATTGTTTTTACTGTATGCGAAATGCGAACGCGATGTACATTCATGTTAAGTCGGACCTTTGGTATAAAAGTAGGGGTGTAAATGAGCCGAGCTTGAGCGAGCAGAGTGCTTGTTACCAATTTTTTTTTTTTTTTTTTTGTGTGTTGTTCGAAACAGGCTCATGAATAGCATGTTTCGGCTTGATTCCAATTCGTTGTTCGTTTCGGTCAAATGAGGTGAAAAATAATAAAATTTAACATTTATTTTCATACAACATATAAAATCAATATAAAGAAGTTATCATAAATTTCATTTATTTAATTATTTAATTAATTCGAGCAAAAAAAATGAGCTAATGCCTAAACATGATCGTACACATGTTTGTTTGTATTTGGTATATTAAGTTCAAAAGGCCTGGTTGTGTTCAACTCGCTTGTTTAACAAATGAATCAAATGCACGCAAGTAACGAACAAGTTTTTTTGCCAGTCCTAAAAGAAGTTTAGATTCCAATAGTGTATATATATGTGTGTGTGTATGTATATCTATATTTATATATGTATATGTACATGTATATTGATAGATAAAGATCTACATGTATATGTATATATATCTGTATACATGTATTTGTAGATGTTGATTTGAATGAATGTTTCTGTATGTAGATGTAGTTGTATGTGTATGTATGTGTAGTAGATGTATGTCGTATGTGTGTGTATGTGGATGTATGCTGTCTTTGTGGATGTATGTATGCATGTATCTACACACACACACACACACACACACACACACACACACACACACACACACACACACACACACACACACACACACACACACACACACACACACAAACACACACACACACACACCCACACACCCACACACACCCACACACACACACATACACATACTTACATATATACTTATTTCAATCATTTTCCAATTTATATTTTAGCGGGAACTCTAGCTGCAAAAGAAACTAAGGCCCATACTAATAGAATGATTTTAAACTTATAAAGAGTGTGCGTAGGTTAATACAGTGAGTTATGAGCTCATTGACAACAATTGTTTACCAAATGAACACTAGACGACTGCAGAAAGTGCCATCGTAAAGTATCTTTGTTAAAAAATAATACCACAGATTTCTGGCATAATCATGTGGATGATTGATGAAATTTAGCTATGGTATGCAATTGGGAGCACTTTAATGATTTCCACCCTCTTGGACTTCATAGCAATCAACTTATCTTTACAAGATCTAAAAATATAAGCATCAAAGGTAAAGCTGTATGCAAAACAACTCGAGCATTCAATTATCCTCATTTTATAGCTCTAAAATTGTTGAAAGAACATTCACAAAGCTATGGTTTTACCTTTATATGATTATGATAACCTTGCATACTTTCCCTTCTTGTCTTCATGCTTAAATAAGGAATCTTCTTTTACGAGCTATTTCTTCATGTGATAATGACAAGTTGCATCTTTGGATTTGCGCGTTATGTAGTTGCAACTAGGATTGCAAATGAACTTAGTGTTTGACAACTAGTTGTGGCTCTACTCGAGAAGTGCTCGTTTATATTTGTTGGATTAATTACTTTAATAAATTTGAATACTTTTATAAATACTCGGTAATTAAATGAATAAGTTTAAACAACTCTTTAATTTGCTCGATAAAGCTTATTTTACTTTATTAAAAGAGTTGCTTAATGATAGCATGATTATCTTCACATGAACCGAGCTCAAATAGTTCGAATGACAAATGAACAAAACTTGAACACAGACAAAGAAGCTCAAACTTGATTTTTATAAACAAGTGTAAGCTCAGACAGTCTTGCTTGGTGTGGCTTGGTATTTTTGCAGCCCTAGTTACAACATCATTCGATTCTATTAGATCTTATTCCTAGCCTTTAATCCTTATATTGGTTCTTCATTTCTGCCGCCCTCATTGAACAATTATTTTTTATTACTAAGTTAATGTTCTCTTAATCATAAAATATAGTATATTGAAGATGCTTATGTGGAGGTAAGTGTTCAATAATAATATAGCTTAATCCTATCATCAACTTCATAATATTTAATAACCGAATAAAAGATATTTTGTTTCATGTGAAGCTTATTGCAGAGCCTCTTGTCATTTACGTTGACTCAAATTTGAGCCTAGTCCTTCCATGAACATCTTGTTAAATCTCGATCAGCATCTCATTCAACATTGATAATTGTTTCACCTGTGGGTCTTTTTATCCATCTCAACTTGTATCGGGATGTCAGGCATCTTCATTTGATCGATGGGAGATCAAGAAACACCTGTAGCAAGAATTTATTTGCTTTGTTATCTAACTAGGTTTACATCCATGAGAATTGAGAAAGGAGAAATGATCCACCATCAATCACATCACGTTCTAAGGAAGTTTGAATCTTATAACGTAACATGAGAATTTTTTTGGGGGGTAAGTTTAGTCTTAGTGATTAGGTTAGTAGTTAAATTGTGCTTCGAATTTGAGTCTCCTAATTAGAGAGAAAACTCTCTATCAACTCCTCTACAGACCTCACACACAGGAAGATTAGCTTTTTAGGGTATGTTTGGGGCAGCTGCAGCTTATCCAGCTTGTGCTGATAAGCGGTTTATTCTGATAATCTGCTGATGACCAGCTGATCCGGATAAGCTGACTGACTGTTTGGTTTGTACGTTTGGAAAATAGCTGATTCTGGATAAATGACCAATCTACCCCTGATCTGAAAAAGTTGTTTAGCTGTTTGGTTAGTGCGTTTGCAAAACAGCTGATTTGCAATTTTTTTTTTTGGATAAATGACTATTCTGACACTGCGCAATGTTGCTGTTTGTAACAGAACTGTAACGGCTAAATAAAAATTTAATTTATTAGCATCATTTACCAATGGTCATTGAACAATATATTTCAAATAACCCTAAAAGAAGGGAATTACACTGCAAAAAAAAAGAGATTAATTTTATGTAAATTCAAAGGTATCAATACGATCGCAGTTCCAAGAGTACAATAAATCTTAACCATTACTAATTCAATTTTCTTCAATTCTTGCAAAATAAAGGTGTAGCTAAAACTAACATTTTAGATAAATTTGAATTTGTAACTTCAATTGATTAATTATTGTATCAAATGTTAAAGAAAGTTGTGTAGTACAAATTGATCAGAATGAGGTCCAATTTAAGTATGCAAAAAATGAATTCTTGGTAAGAAAAATGATGGGGTAACTGGATGGTTTCCTAAATATTAAAACATAATAGAACTAGGTCGAAACTGAAATTGAGACAGAATTGTGTTTTTCATATGTTATGCTATAGCATTACCCCTATGCATAAGAAATGAAGTGTCTGCAAGTAAAATACCCAGTTTTTTTTTTTGCTCACAAATGATTCGTATATCAAATATAAATAATAACAAAAATCACCAAATCATGGAGTTGATAAATTCAAGGAATATGATCGATAAATTAAAAATAATCAATTTCTATCAACATTGTGAGACAAGCATCATCCCCAAAAAAGAGAGTGAGAGCTCCCTGATTGTGGTCAGATATATTTCAGAACCTATAAATGAAATGGTATTTAGATTACTTCACCAGTTAAAGTATTGAAAATTCATGAGAACTTTAAAATGTATTTAGAATATAGTGTATTTGGAATTCAAGTATTTAGAATTCTTGTGTTTGGTTTGAACTAGTAAAAATTAATCCAAACTAAGAACAAACAACATAGGGCATGATATCAAAGTCGCAACTGGACCTCGCAGTGGCAGGGTAGGGCCATTAGTGTCTCATGGAGGCAAGAGCTTGTTGGGGAAAAGTAGGAATCAACAAGAACTCACAAGGATAGCTATTGACAAAAGCTCTTGAGGCCAAGCATCGCAGACAAGAGGAAGAACAAGAGCATTTTTATATAAGACGAACACAGAGGAATGAAGAGGAACGAAGAGGAGGTAGGGTGCAGAAGGATGAAAAAGATGGGAGTTTCGGTGGTCTCTATAACGAGCGATCTGATTTCTTCGTCGCGGGAGAGAAGGCGAGGTATCCCTTCGTTGCCATTGCAGATTCTTAGTCGCGGGCGGGAGAGAAGGTGAGCGATCCCTTCATTTCCATTGTGGCTTTCTTCGTCGCGGGCGAGAAAGAAGGGATCGTGAGAGATCACTGCAAGAGGAGGAGGCAGCAGAGGAGAAGGCAGGGGGGGTCGAGCGATCCGGGGGGGGGGGGGGGGGGGGGGTGTTTCGAGAGATCCATGCGAAAGGAGAGGGCGAGAGTTGTCTTTTGCTCGAAGATCCACGCCTAATGTAAAATCGCGAACGGAGTTTTTGGAAACGTTATTTAAACGTATTTTTCAAACAGCGGGTGGCGTTTTCAAAACTCCATTGCTGTAAATAAGCTCCCCCAAATGCACCCTTAATCTTCTCATAAAAAATGCAAATACCAAAATAGAAACTGTGCGCAAAGGTTTTCCATACTAGTAGATCACAACATCTTTCTACCTGCTGCAAACGCATCCTTCCCAAATAAACTTAAATGCTTTGTGTTTAGGGAGGCCATTTATAGCAGAGATTTTGGAGGGCCATTTATAAAAAGCTTGTGGAAGATCTTAGCTAATTAAAGCTAATTAAAATAAAAGGAAAATAATATCAAAGTGATTCGTTTGAAAATAATAAATTAAATGTTTATAATTCAATTTTCTTGGACTAATACGTTGAAATCTAAGCTTTGATTTTAAGTACTTTTTTCTTTTGGTTCCATTTCAAAGGCTCCTTATTGGTATTTTGTAGTCCTGAATCCCTTGCTAAGGCCTTTTTTTTTTATCTTCTAGCTTCTAAATTGAGTGCTTAAGCCATGTATTTTCTTAATGAACCGTTAGTGCTAGAGGTTTATAAGTGTCACTCCAATTTTTCTAGAAGTCCAACTCATAACCTTATTCTCAGAAATCAACAATTTGTTCAAATCAGCCTTACAACTGAACTATTCTTTTACGGCGTTAACCTGAGTCACAGTTCTTCCTACCCATCTGCAACGTTAAAAATCATTTCACTTTCCATTTCCTTAACTCCAGCTGCATGAGCAAAGCGCATAACTATCAACTAATCAGTTTGTTAAATCGACTGTTTGTTGTCACAGGTGGCTTCCTTCTATGGCTGGCCTGTTTCCACTACACACTGTATAGTAGGTGCCATGGTTGGTTTCGGTATTGTCTACGGTGGCATCGGAGCTGTTTTCTGGAGTTCGCTCGCACGAGTAACTTCATCATGGGTTATATCCCCTATCATGGGTGCTGCAGCATCATTCCTTGTTTATAAATGCATCCGCAGGGTATGCTCACAATTTTCTAATAGGAAGATTTACATACATGTCACTCAATTCCCATGTATTTACATATCTAACCACTAAACTTCAATTTTTACATCTGCACCACCTTACCCAGACATGAAAAAGGTGTATTTCACTTTTTACAATCTAAAATTGTGGCTTTTTTGATGTTACATGAAAGATTTAGATGGCATCAAATGCAAAAAACCAAAGCTTATGTGTTAGATATGTAGTTAACATAGGAATTGTGATGATTTTGTGGCATCAAATCTCTGATCTTCTTCTTTGTGAAGTTTGTGTACAGTGCTGACAATCCAGGCCAGGCTGCGGCAGCTTCCGCACCAGTTGTTGTTTTCCTCGGCGTTGCAGGAATCTCCTTCGCCGCTTTCCCACTCAGCAAACTCCTTCCAATTGCTCTTCTTCAAGCATTAGCCTGTGGAGTCATTGGCGCGCTCATCGTTAGCCGAATCATACACAAACAACTCGGCCTCCTCCTGAGCTCCGAAGCCGAGAAGCCGTCGCCGAAACACAAACCTCATCTGGAAAACATCGGGTTTTTATCCGACATCGCTGGCCCAACAGGAGCTCAGTTGGAGATCGTCTACGGCGTCTTTGGCTACATGCAGGTCCTTTCTGCTTGCTTCATGTCCTTCGCTCATGGAGGTAACGACGTCTCCAATGCCATTGGTCCGCTTGCCGCTGCTCTATCGATTCTCCAAGGCGGAATCATGGGGAATGAGATAGTCATCCCCAAAGATGTCTTAGCTTGGGGGGGATTTGGAATAGTTGCAGGGCTCATGATGTGGGGATATAGAGTTATAGCCACCATAGGAAAGAAGATCACCGAGTTGACACCTACCAGAGGTTTTGCGGCTGAGTTCGCCGCCGCTTCGGTGGTTCTCTTGGCGTCGAAGCTCGGCTTGCCGATTTCCGCCACCCACACGCTCGTCGGTGCGGTCATGGGGGTGGGGTTTGCTCGTGGCTTGAATAGCGTTAGAGTTGAGACGGTGCGTGAGATTATCGCCAGTTGGGTGGTCACTATTCCGGTTGGAGCCTTCTTGTCTGTGATTTACACTTTGGTTCTCACCAAGCTTTTGCCAAACTCCATTTGAGGAGAAAAATTTGCATTCGTAAGACGAACACAGCACTGCGTACGTCATGGAGGTTATTCATAGGGTATTGGGGGGTTATATCCTCGTTATACCCCCTGTAACATATCTGTAACCTATTTTTACCCTCTAGTAAGTTTCACGCTTCTGTTTTCATATATTTGTAGGTTACAAGGGGTATACCGCGGATATAACCTCCAAATACCCACAAATTTTTCTCCCATTTGAGATGAGTTTAGGTTGCCATTAATTTTGTTGTGAAGGACAAAATTATCTTCTTTAAGCAGTATGTCGAAGGAAGAGAGAAGACAACTGCTTGATCACTTGTGATGTTCAGAGAAATTTTATCTGGAGCAAAAAAAAAAGGGAAATCATTTGGGCGAGAAACAAACAGTTCTGCTTGATAATTTTTTGGTTTGTGTGTGTTTATTTGAGTTTTCTGTATAACTGATGTAAATGATAAATTTCTGGAGAGTTAAGAGTGGGGTGGCCGTTGGAGAGCTCCATGTACTGCAAATATTTTTTTGATGTTCATGTAATCTGAATCTGAATTTTTCCCATGATATATTTACTAAACACTATGTGGGCTCTGAACTCTGCATTAATTTTATTATTGTATTTTTTGTTGAGAGAGAGACTTTTAAAGGGTGAAATTTTTAGAAGACAGATTGAATAGTAAATAAGACACTACCCAACGATTTCACCCTCATATTGCAATGATTTTTTTTATCTGGGGGTCAAGGTTGAGGACACTTTGGCGGCAACCATCCGGTTAGAGGGATCATGTCGTAACTGTTATTTTGTGGTGTCATTTGACGGCAAATCACGCGGGCAGATGACTCGAGTCATGCCTTTAATGGCATGAATTTATTTTAATTGTGAATATATTGATATAATTGATATGATATTCATTTTTTATGTGTTGAAGTCAATCAGAAGTTTGTCGCCCTCGATAAATAGTTGTGGAGGGTGGATGAATTTTGCTTTAAATCTTTAGTGATGATTTTAACTTGAATATTTTAATTGATGACTTTGAAAATTCTTGATTTAAAAAATTGACACCTCCAGTTGAAGTTTTCGATCAACACGACCATCATTGAAGAATTGATCATTTAAAGTTTTTATACTTGAAGGGGGATATTTGGTTTTGTTATTTTAAGCTTTTAAAGTATAAGTCATCTCTACTTCTATCCTTATAGGTAGGAGGATCGAACTAGTTGATTTGAGCTTGTGAAATTCTATTTTAAGAATTGAACATTTATTTCAAAATTACTAGAAATCAAATCCAGTTCTCGCAAGGATGAGGATCAGACTAGTGAGGTAAGCCTTATAACTCTATCCTAAAGATAATGCCCGAACAACCTGCGCGACATTCTCAAAACTAGCATTTGGAGATGAAGGATTCTCTGGCTTCGAGAGGAATACTGTGGAAGGGGGACTCACGAAGATGAATCAATAGTCTCCCTCTCCCTCTCTCTGTGATTTTGTTGCGACAAAAAAAAAAGGTAGAAATGATGAACGAATGAATAAACCGAATGTCGAAGCTGAAGCACTTACAAAAATGTCATGCATATATTTTTCTTTAAAAGAAAAAAACTAACTTAATATTAATTAAATATAATTTAACTCAATTAATAATATTCATAATTTTTAACAGTTTTCTTTTCTCTTAAGTTCAACACTTTTTTTTTTTCACATGTCAGTTTTCTTTTCTCTTAAGTTCAACACTTTTTTTTCACATGCCATTATGATTAGATCAATGTTTGGGAATCTCTAATAATTGAGATGGCAGCTAATAATGAAAATTGTACCCTAATGGCAAAATGTTGGCCTACATAATATCTTTTAAGTTACACATTTTACGAAGATACTTTGTCTAAAATTGTGAAGTCATGCAAATTCAAAATTTATGACAAACTTGCCCATCGAGAGCTAACAATTCGGTTCATGGTTTAGGTTAACTTTCTAATCAGAGAAAAAGTTATGGCCACTCATAGAGATGGTCCCTAGCTAGCCTCCTTTACTTAATGGCAAACATGTGAAATAAGGTTGAGAGCGATGTTCCAGCTAACTGCAACACTGATTAATCATCTTCCCACCAGCTTCCACCACCTCATCTTTTAGATGAACAATTCCTAATTCCTTATGTTAATTTGGGTTAACAGGTTGTGTTCGGGTGCGACACACGACCAATCTGACCCAAATTTGCATCAAATGAGCCTAACTCGTTTATTAAATTTGACTCATATTTTAACTCAGTTGACCCAAATCCGACTTAGATCTAACATAAGGCATAGTAGTCACTTATATTACTTTTGAATTGGTGGATTAGTTTTAGACAGTTTAACCTAAAGCTAACCAAAACATTAAAAGGATCAGGATTTAGACCATTATATCAACCCAAATTTGAAGTTTTTGAGGTGTTCGAGTTAGATTATAAGAGCATTTACATGCACGTCACTCGATTTTTATATGTTTACATATCTAGCGCCTAAGCATGACAACTTTCTTTCCGTAGAATAGTTTTTAATGTGATACGAAAGATTTATGTGGTACAAATGTAAAAAAAATTAATGTTTAGGTGTTAGATATGTAGATGTATAACAATTAGGCATTATTTATGTAAATGCCCCTAGATTATAATGTGACCCCCCTCCAACTTCTCCTTTAAGGAAAAAAATAATAATAATTGAATAGCCAAGACAAAATACCATAAACCATCACAAAACAAAGGGGAACCAATCTCACCATCACTGTGAAACAATGGGAAAGGTGTGCTGTGAGCAAGAAGACGATGCAGGACCCGATTTCTCCAAACTCCTCATCGCCGTCATCATCGCCCTCGTTCTGATGATCATCTGCTACCAACCGCGGCGGCGCCACGTCGTCACTGTCCGCCATTGTTGATTGCTTGCAGCTGGAGAAAGATGAAGGCTTTCAGTTGCCAGCTCTGAATTATTGTTTTCTTTTTAATGTTTATTTTGCAAGATCCCCCCACTGTTATCCAACTATTCTCATGTCTCTGTTACAAATTGAAAGCTTTGAGTTTAATAAGATTACAGATTCACTTCCCCACTTTTTTTTTTTTTTTTTTTTTTTTTTTTTTGCAGTAATTAGTTTCTGTGGATGGGAGCAGAGTGAGAATTTGTTGAGCTTAATTAGAGGGGAAATTTGCAAAAGTTTATTTAATCAAATAGTATTAAATATAAGCTATGATTCTTTATTGGCTGTGCATGTGGGCTAATGCATGATGTTCTTGGGCTAATTGTTTTGTGCATATTTTCTCCAAATTGCTTTCTGTATTCATAATTACAGCATGGAAAACTAGAAGTATTTGACATCTGCATCATGACCTGCTGCTTAGAGATTCAAAAGTGGAATTTTTTTGGGTCAATTTCAGAGGAAAATGATTTGGTTGGGGAGGGGATTTATGTTGGATGGGAAAGAAAATGAATTGGTTGAAAGGAGTTTTTGATTTTGCTGTGTTAGCTGCAGAATTTCATCAAATGGTGGAAGTAGTAAGATAGCTGGAGGGGAGGAGGGGTACTTGCTGTTCTTAAATTTTTATTAAAGTTTTTAATATGGTATAATATATTAAAAAAAATTTCCTTCATAAATTTAAATGCTTTAATAATAATTTAATATTAATTTTATTTTTAACTTTGAAAAATGTTTTTAGGAGTTTTATAAAATTTACAAAAAGAAAAAAATTAAATGCCTTGATCGTCCAATTTATACTCTTAAATTTTTGCTCAATTTTTATATGTAGGCGGGGGACATGCTAAGATTTTATGATTTACTATCGTAGGGTTGTACTAAAATTCAACACACATAGGTAAGAAAATATAATAAAGGGAAACAAATTTTTTATATGGAAAAATACACGGGGTCTAGCCAAGTCAAATTAATTCACTAGATGTTTGTAAGTACATGGGTATGTCCCTCTCATGACAAGGAGAACGGGCTTACAACTTTATATTAAAAGCTACACCAATGTTTTTATAGCTAAAAAAAATACAAGTTTTAGAAAATTCAACAACAGCTGTAGTCTGGCTACAACTGTTATAACTAGTGGTCCCTGATGGTCGGTGGTTTTTAATAATCGGTGCTAGACAGTGGTAAGTGGTGATTGTGGGAGATGGCCAATGATGGTCAGTAGCTATGGATGCCGATGGTCGATGGTGGTTGGCGACTGTGGAGACCGCTGGTTACTCGTCAAGTCTTCTTTTCATAAAAAAAAGCCTCTAGAATTTCACTTCTCTCTCTTCTCTTCTCCTCCCTATCATTGACTGAAGAGAGATGACCTATTTATAGTTTTTTGAGGAGGGTTTTCGGCCTTTTGACACAAAACTTCTCTAACCAGCTAATTAAACAATTCATGTTGATCCCCCTTGAGGATAGGTACTTTTTTAAGAATTTGTGTGCCTTAATAAAGTTTGAATTGAGCTATCTTAGGCACGTTGGATTCCTGTCGTCGAGCTGTTTGGTTTGACTATAAATATGACACATTTGTAGTTTATTTGACTATTCAATTAATGTTCTAAAGCCTTCAAATTTGCTTCAAAGACATCATCTGAACTTGATTGTACCTAGTTTGAACCAATTCATAGAGTCATTAGGCCCGTCTTGTTAAGACACTCGATATGATTATAAATTTGATGAAAACGGAGCTTGGATGATTATGAATTTGAAATTGAAAGATTTTTTTTTTAATAAAAATGCACCAAGATTTGTGTTTATCGTAAAAATTTATTGATGACACACCACAACTATCTATTGGCAGAAAAAAAGTATTCAATTATGAACTAATTAAAATTCTCGCAAAAATCAAGTGAATTTTAATATTTGTAATAATTATCTGCCTTACATTTATGAAGTAAAGTATTTTTTATGCTTGAATTCTCCACGTAGTAATTTAATAATATATAATCGCCTAATTTATAAACATTTTCCCACATTCCTTCTGTGGCAAGACAAAAATAGTTATTTGCTATTATTTTCCATTGATACCGATATTGAATAAAATTTGATAAAAAATAATACATGCAAAAATATTAATATAAGGCATGAGAAAAAACTTGTGGGCTTACCTCTCTTAGAATGTTGTAATTTACATATCAAAGTCATCTTATTCTCTAAAGAAGGCCCAAAAAATTAATTTGGTTATTTCTTTTACCCTTAATTCACCTTAATATCAAATTTTTTTCGCAATGTAGTGCCCTTTAGGACAAGATTATTATTATTATTACTATTAGTAGTAGTAGTAGTTTGGTTTTGTAATAAGTAAACTCATGCTAAAGAAGAAGCATATGGTGGATATATGAGTTATCTCTCCTCTCAAAGTTGTGAATATGTGGGTTTGTGATATGCACCAGTTCATATGGAGATAATGTTTGGTATTCTTAGAAGGCATTTGATTTATAAGATATGTCACGTTAAGAAGTTAAGTAGTAGATAAGCTTCAAAGAGAAGAGTGCATGTAATTTTTATCAAATGATGATGCTTTTGCTCTGTAATGCCATTCTATTATGGGGTACATGGATATGACAGGTTTTGGTGTATGATATTATTATCAGAGAAGAA